TTTGTACAGTTTTTGTCCAAAAGTCCATAACATTTAATTTACAAAATAATGGAAACTTTTGTATTTGAATGCTAGACTATTGTTTTCCTGCTAATACTGTTTCTGGAGTTGAACAAGAACTTCCTGACAGCTACCAGCAGCCCCAAATTAGAGGCTCTTGTGAATATACATTTTGCCAAAAATTGCACAGATAAAATACATAAATAAATTAAAAACTATTCCTTAACTTGTGGTTCTTTTTACATTGAATATGTGTGCTTCAAGCCCAGGGAATAGGCCTTTTAGAAACTCATTATAAGGAGATCACATATCAGACTGTAAAATAGTGCTAAAAATGAGGCAACTGTAAAAGATCAACATAAAAAAGTAGAGACCTACCTACATTATTTTTAATTATTTGCACTTTGGAGAATGCTGTCAGTGTTTCTTTTAGTGATCAGACTGATTTTCAGTCTGCATCTTTTTGAAGTTCTTGTCAAAAGAATTGTTTGCATTGTTTGTTTATTCTTTTTAAAAGGGTAGTAATTTCACAGGTAAGGAAGAAGTCTGTCCTCAGCTTATTGTGTTTGTTATTAAATTGACTAGTTTATAAGGCAGTATCTGTGACAAAATGCTGTGGAAGACAGCACGGTTTTAGCAGCATTGTTAGTGCAGCAGCTGATGGACAGCCATGACCTCAACACATGGAGCTTGTCTCCTCTGAGCATGCTGGGAGAGAGCGGGAGAAGGATTCACGGAGGCGGATTCGCAGAGGCATTACAAGGTGAAGAGGTGTGCAGTTTGTTTTCTGTTTTTGAAAAGTGGCCAAGGGAAGTCAGGCTTCCAGGACTTTGAAATATATTGTCTCATAGCCAATAGAGAGGGTGGAGAGAGAGCTTCAACAGGCGTCCTTCTGAAAGGGCTGTAGGTCCCACAGTAGTGGGACAGCAGCTGGAGAGAAAAGGGGGATGTCTTGGAGACCAAATGCTCCGTGTTGAGTACAATAATGAAAGGAAACCAGAGTTTGGGTGCAACTTGGGCTTTTCAGTCAGAAAAGAATCTGCTGGTGGATAAAAATTTTACACAGCCGTCATTTACAAAATAGCGTATTTCAATTTTGAATAACTTTTCAGCAGCAATCCTAGATCTAGCTAAACTATTCATTCCCAGTCAACTGGGTGTGAAAGGGTGCTCTTCTGTCTGCTTTGAGCTATAATCAGAACATGTTGAATTATCATTAGCCTCATATTTTAGGGCTGTGCTTACCTTGATTTGAAAAGCTTTGGTGCTCTGACTTGGGACATACAGCAGTCACACAGAAAGTTATAAGTGGACGATTGCATTGGTTTATTGAAATATTTAAGGAGAAAACAGAGTTATACTGTTGTGTGCTAGTTAACAGCTACTACAGTAACAGTTTGTGAGACTGTCAAGAAATTGAGAATGGATAGCATATATCTTTATATAGATAGCATATATCTTTCTATAATTTATATTGTCCACAAGAGTTATGACTCTAACAATCCTTGTGCATGTTTGGAAGCCTTTTCTTTCACAATCCAGGATTTCTCCTGGAGCTGTGAAGGAATGATGCAGCTGTACCCAAATGCAGAAGTGGCTCTCAGCACCTCGTAGCTGTTACCACTTATCAAAGTACAGCTCTGGACCACCCTCGCAGTCAAGCTCATTTAATATACCATGCAGCCACACTGACTTCAGTGAAACCCTACAGGATACATATTAGCTTGGGATTTGGAACTGTTTGCGCACAGTTATGTTGTACTTGGCTGAAGTTACCATTTTGGCTGTGGTCATGGGGATGTATCTGTTCTCTGTTGACAGTTGAGACTTTGTCAACAAGTGCACACATGTGTTGTGCCTGGGTTGAGAGTGTTCAGCACGTAAGGGAATAATTAGCTGAGATGGAAGGTAAAATCATTTTATTTCTCTCCCATGTCTAATTGCTATTTAATTTTTATATGCATATTTATAGGTATATGTCTGTGTCTATACTTATTGGTAATTTCTTTTAGCAGAAATTAATTGTAGAAATGTGGACTATATCCAGTTAGGCCTGCATTCCCTTTTTCCCACCATTTATTTCTTCTATTTTGCTCTCGTTTTCAACTCCCTCTCTTCCCTTCTTCTGCCTCTGGCCTCCCAGATCATTTTTCTGTGCATATCCTCCGTGAATGATGGAACAGGAAAGAAAGGCAAGTAAGTAGGAATAGGGGAAATACACTCACTGACTCTCTAACTTGTGTAACAGTTTGCAGTACATTTGAACTTGTGTTCAACTCTGAAAATGATATAAAAGGTGTATAATAAATGTAAAACTTGACAGTCGAAAATCAAGGTTGAAAATGGCTGTCTTCAGTGAGCACTGAACTAAGCCTTGGGGTGAACAAATGGGACTGACACAAATAGATTGCATTCCTCATATGACTTGCACCTCTTTATCTCCCTGCTGCACTCTAGAGGGAGTTCAAACCCGGCTGTCTTTAAATAAAATAAAAATAAATAAATAAAACCTGACTGTTTTTAGAAAGCTGCAGATCCAGAAATCAGTGAGGAGAAATGCTTTCCAGACATAGAACTTAGGACTTTGTTCCAATTAACTGTAAAGTCTGGGCATTAATGAAGTTTTCATCCCTAAGATGGAGACTGGCGCAAAGAACAGTGTTCTGGGATTCTCTTTTTTTCTAATGTAGCACAACTCCTGATCTAGAAGGACCCTATCCAGACGTGATATAATAGTTCCCTTCACTGACTATTCTCATCTTTGTTTTTTTAATATCATTACTGATTTTTAAAATGTTTTTACCATTTGGGTTATTATTATCAACTGGAAGTCACTGGCTCAATTAGCACAGTCTGTTAAATAGTTTCTAACAACAATTCCTGTGTCTGATATAGTCTTGCTTAGAACTGGCAACCCAGAGGTATAAAGTTTTGCACGTTTGCAGTTTCTTTTCCAACTAGTTCTTAGAACAATCATGGTTTTGTTTTATTCTTTTTCCTAAGCCTTGAGGAAGATTCAGGAAAGACTGCCCAATGGTTTTTGTACCTTGCAACTCAATAAAACTTCTCCTAGCCCAATGCTGTTCTTTGCTTGTAAGGAAGGAGACGATTATACACAATTGATTGGAGACTTTTTTTTTTTTTTTAATCGTCATTCAAAGTGAGTAAATAAATCTATAAACTCATGAAATGCTGAGCACTATCCAGATACAAAAAAACTACATCTATATTATTTTTGGCTTAGAAAAGTGTAAAAAGAGGAGGACCAGAAACAACAAAACCTTTATCTTTTTTTAATAGCATGGGAAAATATATTTACTTTGTTGCTTAATGGAGCTCAGAATAATTTTCACAAGCTGACTATGGTCAGTACAGAAATGAGTGTATCTTCTCTGAATTGATCAGTGTATTGGTGCAGAATGTGAGTTTCTCAATTTGTAATGAAAGCCATGGGTTGGTGCTCCAGGCAGCCTGTAATGACATGGAATTTAAGGGGTGCTGAATTCAGTGTGACATTTCCTTCTGTTAGAGTATTTTGGCAAGAGCATACTGGCTTTGCAGTATGTGCCTTCTGAGGCCTCTGATAAATGATTAGGCAGATAGTTTAGCCTGTTGTTGCCAGTGGGAGCAAGGCAGTGACTCCAAGAGAAGCATCCAGCTAATGTATTAATGCCTTAATCCAGACCAATAATATAATGTAGTTTGACATGTCTGGCATATGGTTTCTATCATCTCAATATTCTTCTCTGTTCCTTCATGACATTACGGACAACTAACCAAAATAAAGAGAAGCAGGAATTTCTTCACCCGTAAAATGTATTTTAAAATGTCCTACATTTTGTTCCAACTTCTTGGTTGATTAGATAATGAAGTGATCCTGAAATTCAGTGAATACTTCACTGTCTGTGTGCAGTATTTTCTTTCAGAATTGCCTGTGGCATTATCTGGGAAAGAAGTACTGATCTTTGTCATTAGGAATGTTTGCACAAACTTGGTGATATGCATGTGCTTTTGACTTTGCATTACTAAATGCACAAGTGTGAGTATTGAGTGGTTGGACCTTTACCAGACTGTGGGTATGAGGTGCTGACTTTTTAGAAATGTGTATTTAAACCAAAGTGCATTTTGCAAGTTTTGCAGCAGCAAGCAAGACAAGTGGATTATATTCAGGAGACATTTCAAAAATAAATAGAACAGTGAAGTTTTTTGTACTACATGTACCTCTTTCCTCATTGGCTTTATATGGAAATAGCCAAAATGTGTGTCACTGGCCAACCCTGAAAGGGTTTGTTGGTCTGGGCATGGTTTAATGGACTGTGCAAACAGTACACGTGAGCATCAGCCTAAAAGGAGCCATTCCCTTCTGACCTAGGATTTATAATAAGGAACTGGCTCTGATCATAGCAGGTTACTCGCCTCTTGCTCACTGGCTGGCTCCACTCTGCTGTGAGCCCTGCAGCATAGGCAGAGTCCAGCAACCATGGCATGGATGTTTCTGAGTCTGTAGTGGTTATTACTGGTACGTATGGCTGTATGCTGAAACCACTATCTTAATCTGTGTTATTAATTAAACTTACCTTTTTTCTTTTTTTGTTTGTTAACTGGATGACAAATCCTTTCCAGGTATTCCAGAAGTATCCTTGGATTAACTGCACATAATCGATTTGCAAGCTTATATAAAGCATAGGGCAAGGCATACCAATAAAAGTTATGGCCTAAGCTGAAAGCTCACTGGTCTGCTGAGAAGGCTAAATGTGGCTAACATTTAAGTGCTTTAACAGAGCTATAAAGGGAGGGCTGCCATCTGGCTCTTGTTTTCACTCCATGCTTTATTTTTGCAATCACTGATAAATTAACTTTCTGTGCTGTCTTGTACATTCTGTGGCTATTACAGTTGTGTGTTGTGTCTTTTGTTAGTAAAGAAATGTGGATAGGCACATCTTAGCAAATCAAGGGATTTATCCTATCTACGTTGATGCATGATTGTCTGTTTCTTTCAGGACAAAGAGGCCCAGAAAGACTTAGAGGATTTACTTCTCACACTGAAGATGTGATACTGCGCACTTTTTAACTCTTCATGCTGTGATAAAACTGAGAGTCTGTAGTGATTGTGTGCAGCAGGTGAATTCCAACTGAGTCAATGGGAATGGCCTTCAAGCATGTGGCAATTATGTCATGAAAATGACACATTCATTTTTGATTAATTATTTATAATTCTATATTGAAGATTAATTCTAGATTGCTGACACTGTGAGTTCAATTCTCTGAACAATGAGTCCACTGCTGGCAACGGACATAATGGGGATTAGAATGCAAAATGCATAAATCTTACTCTGAAACATTAATCAACTAATATGTGATGCCAGCATAAAACTGTGTGCAGCAAAGTCAAAAGCAAAAATATTTCTATAGTAAATTATATTTATATCAATTAATATATACACAGGTATGTATGAAAGGAAATCATGAATGTTTATGTTTACACACTACTGTTAAATAATTAGAATCTTTCTAAAGAGAAAGTGGTTGCTTCCACAAAACTCTTTTTACTTTAAACCTTCTGCTGGTTTTACATAGATATGTGAAAACTTTATAAATTAAATATTAAAGCTATATTTTATTTGTAACATCAATGGGTACAAAATGAAAAATCAGACTGGTGATATTCAGTGTTTTAGATGAATCTATCACAGCTGTGATATTTAATGGCTTTATTAAAAGATCTCCATCATGTTTGTGAATCCTGGATCTTTCTGTTTTAACAGCTGCCAAGTGTAGTGATGGTAATATATTCCCCGAAAACCAAGTTTAGCTTGTGACTGCCATTAACCTCGTACCTTCTATGTAACACAGCCTGTACATAAGAATAAATACTTTGAGCATGTAGGACAACAGTGTTTTCAATAAAATGTAACAGGCAGGGAGATAATTTTGTCACAAATGGACTGATCCAGAATTCACTTAACTGTGAAGAAAAATAAAGACCAGCTTCCATTGGCTTTCAGTTCAGAGTCTTAGACTAGATGTGGGAAGTATATCTGGAGGAAGTATTTCTGTTAAAGGAAATGAAGGAAATAAAACTGAATAAGGACAACTTCACAATTCCTTGACTTCTTTGATGTGTAAGATGACATTGGCTATCTTATGGCTAAGACAAGGAGGACTGATAAGGCACCAATATATACAACTAATAATTGGGCAGTTTAGGACAGTGACATTACCTTATAGTGATGTCAACAAAGATCTAAAGATTGGGCAAGAGTGAAGAAATATATGTATATACATATGCCTGAAGCATCTCACAGCTCATAGAGTGAGCTCTAACTTCTAACAACAGAGGGCGATAGGTGCAGTAGACTGGAAGACAAACTATACAGAGTTGTATTGAATTTAGCCTGAATTCTTGACTCCTTCTGAACCACAGAGGTTTTGCAAGGTTTTCCTAAAACAGGGCTATCCTTTTAAAAACATTTCAATTAAAAGTACATTTTCCAAAATGGAGAAAATACTGTGGCAACTCAGAACCAATTCTGAAAGTTTGGAACTGGTTCTGAGTTGTCACTGTCACCTTCATGGTTTTTGTTATCCTGAGAATCTTCAAAATCAACACAATCATTTTACTTATTTTTATTGTTCATTACAGGGGAAAATGTTTGCTATACTACTTTTTCAATCCCAGAGTTCTTCGTTTTTTTCACACAATTTCAGACTCTATTAAGTAGTTCCTTCTGTGTCTTAATAAATGATGTGTGAAAAGAGAAGCTGCAAATGGCAAGGGGCTTTTGATAAAATCTGTATTTTACATTTCCACAGCCAAAGCAGGAAGCCTAGTCTAAGTGGATCTATTACAGCAATTGCTGTTTAGAGCTGTTGTTAGTCACTGTTGCCTATGACGATGCAGTAAATTGGGCCTTTACTTATATAATTTCATATTATAAATGTGATTTATCTATTATAAATAGATTGGATTATGCAATAATTGCCTCATTTATGAGGAATAATTACTGATTAAGCCTAAAAATGTGCTGAAGGAATAGATTAGTAGAAGTTATTTAAATTAATTGGAGAAATTAGGTGATATAAATAGGAGTCATTTCACTCTTGGGACATAGAAGGTCTGCATTGATAGAGGAGATCTAGTAAGTGGTGGTAGTTCTGTGAAAGTGAGTGTGCAGATTCCAGTGAGTGGCATGCTAACCATGGGACAGTAATGCCATGTTTTGATGAAAAAGCAGACAGCATTCTAGAGTGAATAAATAAGAGTTCCCCATTAAATGAACATGAAGTAACCTTTTCCTCTAATGCGGCCTAATGAGGTCAGAGATGAAAAACTATGGAATTTTATGCATCACGCTTCAGGGATGCTGGGGGCTAATTGGAAAAAGTCCAGTGGAGATAGACAAGAAAGATGAGAGGGCTAGACAACATTGTCTTGTGTGTGAAAAATGAAAGACTTTGGTTTGTTTAGTCTGCAGGAGGAATGACCAAAGGAGTATGCACATTTATAAAAAGCAATTGAAGAAAAGGCAGTAAAAAAAAAACAACACTGCCACCAGAAAAACACAAAACTTGCATTCCAAATACCCTGTTCGTAGGACAAGACGTAATTACTAACTTTAGATTAGACATTAGGAGAAAAAAAATCCTGATGGAAAATTTGCAAAGCCTTGCAGTATCTTCCCAGAGAACATTTTAACATCATTTACACAGTGAGATTGCAGATGCACACTGGCTCTGAATTTGAGCCCAGGCTACCTATGAACATTTGCCATTAAGTTTCACATTTGAAGATGTGCATTATAGCTGCCTTCAACCATTTATTTTACCTGTTGTTTTATTCCAGGTTATTTTTGATGAAAATTTTCATTTTATAAAATAAATTACTTATCTTTTTATGCTCTTCTAAACTACAAACATTCTGCTATTTTACTTTTTACTTGTTACTAGTCTATGTATGGAATCACAAGATGTCATCTGTGAATCAAAAGGCTGGTTTTAATTATTTATTCTAAGTCTGTTAGAGTGTGCAGAAATATTCCTCACATAGGTAAGAAACTGCTGTTTTATACACATGAGGTATTTTGTGCTTTTTCTGGTTGCTGTAAAGGAACATTCTCAACTTCTTCATGTTTTCTGCTGCATTAATCTTAGAGCTTTTAAAATTGAGGTGTGTTCCCTAAATTGTTCTCTAATGGCTCCTTGGAAGAAAGCTTTTGCATGTAGCTCTAGGCCTAGTCTATGTAACATATCAGCTAGAGAAACTGCAAGTAGAGTTCCAGAGGGCCATATGTTTTCTTTTTTGTTTAAAATATCCACAAGCAGACATTCACTTCCGTAGTTTTGTCTCCTTGGAGAAGCTACAAGTTAACCGTATTAACCCCGTGGGCCTTTAAGCCGTGTGGAGCAGATGAGGTTGCAGGCTGGGGCCTCAGTCTCTGCTACCTGCTTTGGCTTTTCACTGTAACCTCTCATTTGGTCTCAGTTGGTCTATGCTTCTGTGTACGTATTGGGTATTCCTGGGGGAATTTTGTCTTTTTGTGTCTTTGTAGAAGGTGAGTTTGGGGGCCTTGACCCAATAGTAGGGTTTTTGTGCTTCTGAACAGCTAAAATTATTTGTTCTGCCTTCCTAGGTGATTGAGATTACTTTTAATTCTTGTGGTGAAGGTGAAGACTCTGTTAGTGGTTGCAGATCCTTTGGGACTGCCCCTCTGCAACAACAGATAATCACAAATGAAGTTACACTGTTTTTATAGCAGTTAGCTACTGGTTCATTGAGGTAATAGTTACAATGATAGGCTCATATTGCTTTATTTAAATTTCTCTTCTCCCCCCGCCCCTCCCCTTCAGAGCCTCAGGGTGATTCACATAGTTTAAGGAGGTACCATCAATGCACTGACTTCTGGAATGAATTAGAGAACTGTCCAACAACAGTGAGCAACTAACAATTTAGAAAGGAAAGTGACAATTCCTCTGTTCAGTTAAATAAATTAACAAACAAACAAACCAACCCCACCCAAACCTAAATCCGTCCCCACAATCCTATTGTTATATTAGTAAAAGTCTGAATTAAAAAAAAATAAAATAAAATCAACATTGAAGGATTGGCTGACAGAGATCCAATCCTATCATCCTAAACATACTGCTTATCTGGATCTACATATCTTTTTCAGCCACTGCTACATGAACAGCTGCCCTGTGAGGCACATGGGGTTGTAGGGGTGTTCTGTGGACTCCAGCAAAGCCCATGGGTTTTTGAGTCTTCTGCTGCATGCTTTGGAATTTGGTTCTGTGGTGTTTTCTTTCATAGGCACAGTAATCATGATGGATGTGTTACACCTCTTCCAAAACAGAAAATTCTGCAGTAATGTGACGGTTTAAATTGCATTGCAAACTCAGAAGGACTAACTCTGTCTGAAGGACCAACATTTCTATTTGCATTTTTAAATTCTTTCTTCTGTACGTAGATTATATTCTTGTTTTCCAGCACTTTTCCTTTTTACAGATTCTCCCAAGTTCCTTGGAGAAGAAACAAATCAAACTGCCTTGACAGTACAAAAAGAATGAAGCTTTTCTGGCCTCCTTTGTTTGTGTAACCCATGCATGAAGCACTAGAACTATGAATATGAAACATTAATATTTTTTGAGAAAATATTTTACTCCATTTCATTAAAATAAACAACCAGTCATTCTAGAAACATCTGTAGAGGCAATGTTCAACATGAGCTGATCTGAGCCCTCTGCCTCCCAGTGCTACTGACCCACCATGGGGATCAGCTACTTGCTCAAGTTACACACATGCAAACACCATCTATGATGATTCAGTATGAGCTGGTTTGAATGGCCTGCCTGCAACAAAACAGCCACACAATTTTATCTACAAATATTGTAAACTAAGCATGTCCCAAGGATATGGGCATGAATATGGATGCGCTTCTTTACTCAGTTTGGAAGGTTAAAGTTTTTAATTAAAAGACAAAGAAAATCAAGCTGGCTGATGAAATTTCAGCCCCTAAGTGATAGAAATGTTCCTGTTTTAAGTGGTAAATCAGCAAAGTGGATTAAGCAATTTAGTAGTGTGGGGTTTTTGTTTTGTTCATTTCTTTTTAATATTGGAAGAGGATCACGTATGAAGAAATGTTATGAATTCAGGGAAAGCCTATGTAGCTATGTTTATGGACACATGCTGGAACAGGCTGCCCACAGAGGCTGTGGATGCCCGGTCCCAAGAGGTGTTCAAGGCCAGGTTGGGTGGGGCCTGAGCAGCCTGGTCTAGTATTAAATGTGGAGGTTGGTGGCCCTGCCTGTGGAGAGGGTCGGAGATTCATGATCCTTCCAACCCGGGCCGTTCTGTGAACCTGTGCCAGGAGCGCTCCCACAGGCACAGCTGTGAGGAGCAGCCGAGGTGGCTGCTGTCAGGCAGGGCGGGCCCAGCTTTCCCACAGCTGCATCATCAGTGCTCGCACCTGGCTGAGGGGAAGGGAGCAGGGCTCAAGTGGGCCCTTCCAGAGAAGAATCAGAAGTTAGGTGTACACGACTGAGCTAAATCTTCTCCAAGAGCTTTGGAAATTGTCTCTGGGGGAGTTGTGTTTGTCGCTTGGAGGCTATGTTGCTGCAAGAGCTGCAGGATGACTGGCTGAGCTGCTGCGGACAAAGGAGCGGTGAGTAGCTGCTCTGTGGAGCACCCAGCTCGTTGTGGCACAGCCGGTGGGTGCTGTGATGGATGGTGTTTTACAAGCCTGTGTGCTTGCCCTTGGCACCTGCCAGCGTTCAGTTAAAAGAGAAAACCTGGAAGCTGCCCTGAGGGCAGAAAGGATTTGGTAATTCCTGACTAAGTGTGTTAAGTTTCAGGCTTGTAATTAGCTGAGTGTAAGAGTCTCTTCTGTGCAGGGCTTTGCCTGCCTTGATGCCTGCAGCCAGGCCTGGGGGTGCCTCAGAGCCTCCACCTGCTCTTGGCTCTGCACTGCATGTGGCTGTGTGGTAGTTGGCAGTGAAATTAACGTGTTTTCTCTTCTTTTTTCATTTCTTCACAGCTTAAAAGTAATCCTTAAGATTAGAGAGGGAATAAAAACAATTTTTTTAAAAAAGTTTATACTGAACAGAGGTGAATGTTTTGTGTATTGACAATGGTATCAGATAAAGGCAAACCAGCTGAGTGCGTTCATCTGGTTTCTGTGGGTTTCACTGGATTTACTCTAGCATGATAGTTGTGGTTTTTCTAGCTTGATCCATTCTTGTTTTGAATGCCATATTTTATTTGTTCAGAAGTTCAATGCAGGCCATGTTTTCTGTGTTTGTGTTTAAATACATATGAAAATATTTGTGCAGATTTGAAACTTCTATGTGTAATACGTGAACTGAAAATTTAAGAAAGGCAGGAGAAGGAATGTAAAAGGATGAGCAGGAAGAATCTAACTTCCAAGAGCTGAGGTGAAACTG